ATGAGTATTCACATTGAAATGATTTTGCCACTCAAAGTCGTTGTCGCGTAAAACTTTCGCCCGTATACCGACTTTACAGGCAACCAATTTTTTTATCAATATTTTCTAACAATGACCTTACTTATGCGTGCTCCCAATATCGTTCCTATTTATCCCGACCACGACAAAGCCAAAGAATGGTTGTGATTTTAACAGTGAATATACGTGTGCCTGTGTGGGGGTGTATTCATCTGTTCCTTCATAGTTCCTAAGATACTTGCCCTAACCCTAAAAATTATGTGATAGACGTGTTCTAGGGTATAAAACGTCTTATTGAATCCAATATGGCAAAGTTTATTTCCCAATATCGAAAAAAAATAATAAAAGATAAGCATATCATATATGGTATCAAAAGAAAAGTGTTCAAAATTACATTACCAATATGTATAACTTTCATATTCAAATACATTTAAAACAAAATCGTTTTGAGTTAAAAAGTGAAATCGGACGGAATGTAAGGTTGCCGCATCGACGCCCCGCCCCGCGCAACACGTACCTTATAACAAATAGCGCATCGCGGCCTGCGTGTCGCGTTATAGTAAACGTTAATATTTACTTAGTCATTGGTGCAATGGTAGTGGTGACAAAACCAGACTGGGCTGCTCTGTGTCGTGATCAATTGGAGCTAGGAGAATAACCGAGTGGAGTTTTCATTCAATTCGTTACCTGCGATATTAAAACCGATTAAATTGAATTGGATAGGTCTGGTAGATGGCTATCTGATAGTTTCTGGGAATACTGGTATCTATCTGGTAAAATTCTTCGTATAATTCTACCGTTAATATTTACTTGACATGTGTAGATGCATGTAAATTGCAAGTTATAAATTTGATAAAACATTTATTAAATAAAGCAAAGTTTTAAATGCTAAGGGCTAAGCCTATCTGGCATCAGCAGTATCAAGTCTTTAAAAGGTGTATTCATTAGCATGTTAGATCTCAATAAGATTTTAAAAAACTCTCCCGATTTACGGTGTCTTACTGAATGAAATAGATTACGAGATTTGATTTCTATTTAAGTCATTTATACATAAGTTATAAATAAACAATAATAAATTTAATGGAGTTTTACAAGATTTGAAAAAAATTAATGATTTGCATTTTAAATCTTGTTTGTGTATTTTCTGAGAAAATATAAATATTGTTATTTGTTTACGCGTTTAAAAATTTAATTTTATTGAACCCCTTCACTAATATCTAAAGTCATCTAAATCCAACTAAATACTTTTGGATGGAGCTAAAAAACGCGCAGGCGCCAACCGCAACGTACTAAACACCCGTCGACAGCTTTGAGAGCCCAGAATTATGCAAATTATAGAAAGTTTTAAGATTATGGCCCGAAATAAAATTTTACAGCGGATCTCGGGACGTTTCGGGCCGTCTCTCTGAAACTCCAACCTTTCGGACACTTCAAAGTCGTTCCGCAGATATCGACGTTACTGTTTCGCTACAATTTTCGGCTGAAACTCCCCAAAAGTTCACTTGAAACAAGTTAACTCCGTATTAAAATGGTTTTAATTTTAAAAGCGTCACGTCTGAGGCTAGTTGAGATCGTAAATTATTTACGATGGGAAATTTTTCCTTATTTTTTTAAATTATGCCATTTTGTATTATTAAATATTTATAAATTCTTAAATTTGTTTTATATTCCGTATTAAAACAAAATCAATAGATAATGCGGAAACTTATTTTCATTCAGTACGATTTTCAAAATTAGATATTTCATCAGATGTCGATATTTTAAGAGGGATCTATAACAACTATTTACAAAGAGACATCGAAATTCGCTTATTTATGTTGCTTATTTTTCCATCTTTCAAAAGAATGTATTAGACGGATAAAAACCAATATTACTTTTCTATCAGTTTAATATTAGCACGTTTTTATTGATTGCTCTCGTATATATATATGGGTGTATGCACGTCTGTAATAGAATCTTTTAATTCAGTTTTAGCTTATTTGCAGCCGGTGCGTAATCTGAAATCAAACGCTTGCCTGCAATATGTGTTAACATGCAGCGTGCTATCCATCTCTGACCCTCGAATTTTTTCTTCCACTACGAATTCCTATCCATAGCTTAATTTTCCGACATCTATCAATCGTCTCCAATAAAATTCAATTCTTTGGACGAGAACTCGTAATAGAAGAACAGATTCGAGGGTCAGTAGTGGGTTGCATGCTGCATGTTACAATATATTACAGGCTAGGGTCTTATGGATTTCCGCGAATTAACAACTCATGCAAGAGAACATCTGAAATTATAACCGATGATTAGAAATTTCCTAAATAAACTATATTAAAAAATACTTAGCTTATTATATACTTAAAATAACTCGGTATAAGAAACAAAATTTTTCATATAAGCTATTTAGACTTTAATGTTATAATTTACCTTGTTCGTTTAGAGATGAGTGAAACACGTGGGACACCAAAAACTAATATAATGAATACTTTTGGCGACCTTTATATAACTGACAATATCGAGTATCATTTATAGGTCAGTGACTAGCTAAATTCTTTAAAAACAATACATCGGTTAGCCCGAACGCAAGGCAGAATTCGAGTTCGTCACGTGCCCGGGCACGCTGCGCGGCGTGACGCGCGGTCGTCCGGCAAGGCGCTCACGATTGCAATTTAGCCGAGCGTTTAGTATGGTTGTGTCTATATTATTTATAAGTATATTTTTTATATAGTCACTTTCGTGAAGTTGTTCTAAAAAAGGAGTATATTATGAATTTTTGCGAAAAGATGCATTGATTGCATGCATCTTTTCGCAAATATGAGTCGTATATCGACGTTGTGGGGTTTGTACACTACACAACGTCGAAAATCGATGAAAGTGATATTTCGTATTTTTAGACAATTTCCCATTTTCTTAGCGAAAATCTAATACTTCAGAAAATTTTCCTTTATAATTTAAAACGATGCATACAATCGCCATACCAAAGAATGTATATCAATTCACAGTTTTCACAGAATCATAAATAAGCATTTTGATTGCTTAACGATCTCTAAGGAGGATCTTTAAAAATCACATAAAAATTTCGATAATGTCACGCGCATCGACCGTGATTCTCGTGAATATCTAGAGAGACGTTTGTTGATCACAAAGTACGATTATGTTGGGACATGCCACAGCTCGGATCCAATTTCCCGAAAGTCAGCAATTTGCGAGAGCTTTCAATTAAAAGTTAATGAAAATAAAGCAGTCAAGCAAATAATTACTTTAATACGAACGTAACGTGTACGGGTAATCTGTAAACACGACATGTTTCCAGGACTTGATATTTTATGCTGGAATAAATAAATGTTGGCTCTACTATATCTGTTTGCGCTTTATCATTGTTTCTGTAATGAAGCAAATGAAATGTTAATTAGGCGAGAACGGTTGAAATATGATGTTTTATTAAAGTTTTGCTAATTGAAAGGCAGTAATTTATGTACTGGTATAGTGTAGTTCGAAAGAAAGAAAAAAATTAAATTAATCTATAAATATGAGTACAATGAACTGTGTCTTTTAATTCCATAGTATTATTTGTAACTATCCACCCAAACAAACATTTTAAATTAATTGTTTATCTATGTGTTTATTCAAGATCATTTTCGAAGGAGATATGTTGGATCTATCTCCTGGATGTGTAATTTGTCTGCTGAATCTATCGGTTGGATCTGTTTGTTAGATCTATGTATTGGATCTATCAGTTAGATCTGTCTTCTGGATCTATTGCTGGATCTGCCTGCTGGATCCCTGTATTAGATCTGTCTGCTGAATCCGTCTACTGATTTTGTCTGCTGAATATGTATGTTAAACTAATCTGCTGCATGTCTTTTGAATTTGTATGCTGAATCTTTTTATTATATCTATCTGCTGGATTTGATTGCATAATTTGACTGCCGGATTTGACTGCGTGATCTGTCTCCTGAATCTGTCTGTTGGTATCTGCTAGATGCATACAGAATGCGTCCGTACTCGTCCTCTCGAGGTATGATCGCCAGATCGGCATGGACTGCAAATATGGCACCATTCACTACGGACCTATGAACATGAGCTCTTCGAATTTTTTTTTTTATCTTTGTTTGAGCATTAATAAAGTGCTACTTCGTATAATACTTGAAATAATAAATATGTCACATTAGAATAAAGTATTCTCAAAAGTGTATGTTCCGAGTGTAAACAAGTAAACAAATTTTATTGTTATTTTATTATCATATTTTGTTAATCAAAAGTAACTTACAAGTATATGGTATCGGGACAGCAACCCACAAGAAGTCTTTTTTTTATTACGTAAACAATAAAAAACATAAAATTGCGTAATAAACAATTATTATTCACAGTATATAATAAAATAATCAGTTTTTGTGTTAAAATAGAAAACAAATCAAAAATTTAAGCCAAATAAAATGGGAACTCATTTGCTATTTTTGATATTTTTGCTTATTTAATCGTCAATAAGACCTCTTATTTCTTTTGAAATTGTTTTGTAATTTTTCTTTATCTAAAGATTTTCAGCTAAAAATTTTAAATGAAGGAGTTTGTAAAGAAATCTCGGTTGAAATATTCCAAAATTGTAAAGTACGTAAAACCGACTTACCTTACAAAGTTTAACTTCATGAAACTCGTCGAAAAAAAGTTCAGGAGTGTTTTCTTAAACGGTTTCATTTCGCTTCACTTTGTATATTTCTTTGTTTGTTTCTTTCCTTTTTAGTTTCTTAGTGGTGATATTTTATTGACATTGTGGATATTGAGCCCAAACTTTATCTTATTATAAAATTTTGCCAACTCTTCAAATCTGATAATTCAGAGGTACTGTTTACCTAAGCCGATTTACTTGCAAAGATATTCTGAATTCAAAATCATTTCCAATGATTCTATCAGATTTATTTAAGTTTATATTTAGGCTGGTATTTGATACTTGAATTGAAATAGTCCATGAGTTTCATTTAATATTTTATGGAAAAAAAGGTGTTCCCAGGCGGTCACCCATCCAAGTACTGACCGCGCCCGACGCTGCTTAACGTGATAGGACGAGGACCCATGTATTCAGCCTGGTATGGACGTTGGTGAACATATTTATGAAAATGTTAACTAAAGCAACAACGGTCAGCATTTGTCATTGCGGTTACACTTCTTTCGTATAGCTCCCATACATCAAGCGCCTGAGTGTAACGTGCGATAAGGAACTTTATTCCAAAAATGTTAAGGACCAAAAATATAACGAATATTATTTTATATTGAATGTTGTCAGGAACATGTAATCTTATTCTCGGACTATTTTCTACGCTACATAAATCATAAATTGTTACAATAGGTATTTATTTTATTTCACGTATCTCGCGTACGCAAATTAATGTATTGTATGCATATTATATGTACGTTTACGTATGACTCATTAATACGCGTGTTTAATTAGAGCATAATTTGCGATTAGATAATTAAAGATAAGTTATTTCAGATGGGTTTTTTTATGAATTCTATAAACGTTTACGAGAAATAGGGATTATAGAAAACTAACTGCGATACAGCGTCGGTCATAGCGGCACGTACCTCAGCTCAGCCGTGAGATTTTTAAAATTCTTCACGCACTTCTATCCCAATCACTGCTCTATACTTTTTAAATAATTTTATTGAATATTGTTCAGTGTCAGAAATTCGATGTAAGAATATGATCGAACCATGGACAGAATGCGAGGTAGACAGATGCTAAGTATCATGGCGAATACTGTGAAGCCGATACAGAAGCGAGGAGTTTTGGAACGACATCGGCAAATCCAAGCTCTTCCTTTAGAAGATAATCTTAACGACACGACAATATGTCCGTTTTATTACAGTAGTAACCGCATGTCCTGCGTAACTTACTCGTGTACAAACAAATCGAACCTGCTAGAACACAAAATCCTTTATAGAATACGTAACTAACGGAATATATAACATTGATTTACTGCAATTTCTTCTTTTCTCATTTTTATTAGAAAAAAAAGCTTCTGTTAATGACTTTAGGCGTCTAACTTATAAAAAAATAACTGATTACAAAATTTGAATGTAGGAGTGATTAAGTAGACGAAACAAAACGTTTAAATTAGTTACCTATTTTTTTTAAAGTTTCTACTTTGAATGAAATTAAAAATACATAAGAGTTATTTTACTCTTAATCGTGAAGAATTATGAGTCTAGTAAAATCATGCTACAACATCTTTTACCGTCTTTAATATTTTCTGCTTAATAAGGAAATTTAAATTGACAAGCACTTAATTTTAAATTTTTTTCGACTGTATTTTTATTAGGTTTTTGATGACTGATGTTCTACCACCGTATGCTTTATGCAAAATTTTTTGCCACGTGCGATGAGCATTTAGAACGGTTTACCATCAATTATATTGTCAATGAACTTCGATAAAGCGATGATCAAAAAAATTGTAATCTCTTTTAAAACGCCGGTAAAACACTAGTAACTCCCCTGAAGTTGACGGTATCCATGGGCGGCGGTGACCATCTAGTCTCCTACGGTCCGCATACTCGTTTGGCTCTTATAAATTTTATAAAAAAAAACTTCGCTTGTTGTAACTAACAAACTAACTATGTAAGCAAATCGAGGACGTCGATTTTAACCTACTTTTAATTATAGTATCGATTTAAAACTTTGGAAGTATGTAGTAAGGAAGACGACACAATAATTTCGTATCATCGGATTTTGAAACATGAAGGTGGACAGTGGAATTCTTCAACACCGATTATTAAACCCCTCGAATATAAAACCATTTAGATCGTTTTCACATCTCCAGTATACTATACTTGGTGATGAGGACTTGATGAGAGAACCGGAAGATAATAGCGAAACTCATCACTGGCTACAAATCAACCCTTCACTAACTGCGAGTTACGCAATTACATTCTAATCTCGTGACGACATTTTGAGGTCCACCTATGTGAAGAAGAAAAATGTCGTGTACTCAATGTTTCCGTTTAGTAATCTCAAAACAAAAAAAATGTATTCTAGACATTAATTGTTTTAACTTTTGACTTAAAATAACTATAAAGCGGACCACGATAGGAACTATACTTGATTCAGTTACATTATTTAAAATATTATTAACATTACAGGATGCTACAGCGTTTTTGGCGCCGATGAATCGTTTAAACGTCTCAAAAGTGTGTTGGTGGCCATGCAGTTAAACGAAACGCCATCACAATGGAGGGTGTAAGGTTCCAATGCTGACTAAGGGCAAATCGACTAATAAATCTTTAAGTCAAATGAAAAATTTTTCGCTCCGTGTCTGAAAACACGTGTGATCGTCGACTCCATTGTCACTGCAACGGTGATAACGGAATAAACGACCTAAGTCGATCTGTACTGAGCTAGCGTGAGAGCTTAAGGTTAGACCTAAGGTTCAATCCTCTATCTGAAATAAAAAGATTGGAGAGGGGATATTCGCTTCAGCAATCGGGCGATTTAAACCTCGCGCGAGTACAAGTAACAAAAAATAACGTCTCGTTCATAACATTCTTCGACAGCATTGCTACGACTGTAACTTTGTTCACACGTTCAAGGTTTGACATGCGAGCTGAATGGGCGTTCGTGGACGACGTGCCCTAAAGCTTCATAACTTCATACTTGTGATGTCCTTACTCTCTGTTTTTGTTACGCAGAGCTTCGAGAACGTAGTCAACAAAAAAAAATCAAACCCATTACACGTGAAAGCCTCTGAAATTATATTAGGCTCTAAACGAGGAGTCGAAATGACAAAAATTTATGTCGTAAGTTAAGTGAGCGGGCTTACGGGGCCTTAATAACTTTTGTTTGGGCGGCGCGCGGGCGCAGGGCTTAGTGGGCTCGCGCCGCCTAATGAGATTTTATTAGCGTACACAAACTTCTGTTTTTGTGAATGCAAATTAACTTATTTACATTTGTAAATTATATACATATATATATATTATTTGCATTTATAATATTTGTCATGAAACCTTCTTCTATGTAACTGACGTCATTTTTCTTCACTGGTCCACGACAGATGTCGCTTTTTATAAGCTTTTTGCAATTTCTTGAAATCGTAATATCGAATTAGATCCAGTACTGTATACTACAATGATATGTCTCAAATTACTCTGATAAGTGCAATTTAAAAAGATCATATCATAAATAATTATAGAAAGACTAGCAGTTTTATTCCGGGAATCTAATTGGTTAGAGAGTTGCTATCTTCAAACCGATGATGTATATTTAAATTTTTAAGTTTCACTCATATCAATGCACTTTTTTTTTGAATAGCTAATAACTCTTTCAATCAAAACAAAAACAACGTTATTGGTACTCTCAGCATCGAGCGGTAGGCCGTGCTGTTGTCAACTCGGCTGCAGCACGAAAATGTGCCAGGTCAACGTGAGATACCACACTGTCACAGGATATAGCCGTGAAGTAACAGCTTCGCTGTTGGGTTTCTTTCAGTGAGTGAAAGTTCCGGAGACACATTGCCCTCTCAGTCAATCTCGCCTCCATCAGATATCCTGTTTCTACATAAGTGACCGGCAACGCGCTGGTAACCCCTGGAGATGCGTGTGTACATGGGCGGCGGCGACCACCTCTCTGTTGGCTTAAATAATAGTGCAACTATTAGATAAAAAATAGTTTTGAAATAAATACGACAATGCTGTAAAAATGTCATTAGGCGCTACTTAGTTATACGTTCGTCATTAACAATAATTGATTAGTAGTTTAACAGCTGAGAGCCAACAGATGAGCATATGTGGTCACATTCATACATACACGGGCTGAAAGCATATTCCTCCTTTTGGCTTCACTATAGTCGGGAAAAAATAAAACTTTGTAAGAGAATGCGCCTCAGCAGTAGAATGATACAAATATCTGGGGTATTTTTTTTTCGACACAAATTTAATTTTATTGATGCAGCAAGTTGGACACAGTACGGCTCTACCACGATACGTAATCACTTAATATAACGAAAGGAAACAAAAAGAAAAACATAACAACGAAACATAATATGTTTGCGAGCTTTTGCAGTATCAGATGGATTGAAATTTACAGGTTCCCTTAATGCTTTCCAACCTAAAATCGGTAGCCAATCAACAAATATCTTCCCATTTAGTGAGTAGCTTTAAACAGACCAGCCCCCAGGCTCGTTATTTGCGAACTCGAGCGCCGGCGCTCTGAGAGCCCGTTCGGGCGACTCGGTGAAGCCGCGGCCTACGCACTATTCCTACGTCAAATAATTAAATATTTGAGTTTCAATTTCCATTGGTGTTGCCACAGCTCGGACGATTGCCTTGTTGATCTATTGTGTTTGACATTTCAAAAACTTACGGCAGTACTCGGGCTGTCACCGAACTTGTCGGCTTGTGTAGTCTACTGTCTTATGCGGTCTCCGATGTACGATTGTGAATGAATAAAACGTACGTGTTATGATTTATTTTCCATAATATTTTAGACATTATGGAAACACTTATTTCCTGAAAGGTATAAATCTTTGCATATCGCTCTATGTCACTAGCATATTTCAATTGATCTATGAAAGCTCGTCGGTTTCGGGTGTTTAAAATTTGTCGATTTTCTATTGTAGTCCTTGCCGACTTGCCCCATTTTGTAATAAACTGAAGTTATTATTTATATGCACTAGTTGAAAAAAAATATTCACAAAGGAATATCTAAATCTGTCTTTATTTCTATACTAAACACACAGCTCCGCCCGTGTACCTGGAATGAATTACAACATCTTCAGTATCGACTCATGACACTTTTCTATCATAACCTCAATCCTAATACTGATCTCACCCCAACATTTAGATATATAATAATGAGAGAAATATGAGCTTACTTAATACCAAACAGACATTCGAAACTCAAGTTCTTATCTGATATCCACATTTTAAAAAGTTGAAAGTTTTCTGATATTTTAAAACGATATCGGTATACCTGTTGCGGCTTCATAGAAGCACACATGCATTCACGCATATATACGCACACGCACGCACTCTCACACACTCTCGCTAACACAAGCACATAATATGCGTGTGTGCTGAGTGAACCTTTAACAGGTCGTCAGCCCATCG